AATATTATTTTTTCCACTGTCACCAAAGACTTGAATGCCTTGGTTCATTATTAAAACTACTATTTTGATTTGGTTCTGTATAGGCTATAGAAAACAACAGCTAAAATGGACAGCAATCAAAGAGAATTCTCCTATATTAATCAGAAATGGGGAACACACAAGAAGTAATTTCTTATAGCAGAAATTCGAGGATCGAAAGAGGCTTTTCCTGCAGATGACAATGAGAGGAAGGGGCACTAGTTCGAACCTTTACAACAGAGCTGCTAACAGAGCTCCCTAAAATGCTTTTGGAAATACCTTTGCATTGATAGAAAAAGAAGTGAGAAGACTTTATTTTTAACATCTCTAGGGTGAAATTCTGCCCTTGTTAAAATCAATTAAAATTTTTCCACTGATTTCAAGAGAACTCCAATTCCAATATACATAATCTCATTATAAACTGATCTCTTTTGCAGTCCTGGTATACTTGCATCGAGGAATTTGACAAGGCCTGACAAAGCACCAGTGGCTGAAGGGAAACGTGATCAGAGATGTAAATTAAGAAGTTCACCAACTCCCACGTCTCCAAGGGTACTTTTGTGCCATACAGATCTCAGAAAGCTCAGGCCCTTACTGGACCCATCCCACATGCAGTTATCTCCTGTGTGCAAAAGGAGGCTGTACAATCTGACCGTTTTCTTAAAACCAGTGACACATCCGTAAGTTGAGCGTATAGTCATATGAACATCCCAATAGAAGGGAACCCTAAAAGAAATCATCACAGCTCTTTAAGAAAAACAAAGAACCAGTTTTTATATTTCATATGTTATTCTTAGATGGCTGGATCTTTATTTGGCTGCCTGAATTATTCACTTAATATCACATTGGTGTTCTTACCTATTTGAGACAATTAGATGATGATTTAGGTGCCTTTTACTGAATCTGGTGACAAAACTTTTTGTAACAGGTTCTCAGGTGTAAAGAGTGCCTTACAGTTAAGTATGAGAAAATAAAGAATTAAAAAAGTTGACAAACACATCATGATACTCAGTTCAAACCTTTGCATGGAAAACTGAGAAAAAAGGTCATGGTTTTGAAACAAAGGCAACACCTGCACTTCCAAGGAAATGGTAGTAAGTAAAAGGAGGAGCTACCTCTAATTGGGACTCTATTGCAGATGTATGGGAAAACCATGCAGGTTTTTTTACTCAGCATGCATTAGAGACAGCACGATGATTTTCTTTAACATGGCTCTTTCCATACCTTTTATTCCAGATTACTACTAATGGATTCTCTCACAACTAAGATAGTTAATTTCCTAAAGGATGAAAGTGGAGAAACCTCCCAAACTATACAGTTTTCTTCCCCCCCATGTTTCTTATAAGTAGTAAGGACACCTTCAGTTTAAAGTCTGTTACCTCTGATTATTAGCATTTTTTGCAAACATACACATCTTGTATGAGCAGTTCCATACTAAAGGCACATATGCCCATGGTTATGGCACTCCTGGGTCATGCATCCTCAGCACATTAAGTAAAAAATTAGCCTAGCAAAGTCCAGTAAGTTTAATGGAACAAATAGGGGTAAGTACACTGAAAGCCATACTGAAAATAAATCCTTAGGTCTATGAACTAAACCACACAATCTTCCCAAAGCTAACTTGGCAGCCACTACTATGTGGAAGTTTCAGACACTTGCTATGCATGACCGTTATGATGGCTGTATTGTATCACGAGGCTTCAGATGTACTGCTCAGGTGTAGCTACATAAAATGTTACGTGACTCCTTGTATTCATCCAAGAATGGAGTCTGCAACTAAGATGGGTGCCACACCCACCTGCCACAGAAACGAGATCTAGAGAATTAAATTAAATTTGGAATGATAAGTTCACAGTCTTGGTCAGTGCCTTAAAAGAATGAGTAGTCTGGTGGACTGGGTAGAGCCCAAAGCAGCTGGTATAATAAATTTTACTACTCTGCAGTAAGAGTGATAAATGATTTCACTAGTTTATGTTTCACCCTATACCAAGGTCACCAGATTCCTCTCAGCAAAAATAAGCTATGGATTGTTGTCGCAATCATAAAACAAGCTCAGCAATAAAGTACTGTGCCACATTTTATTCTGCTATGGCTGTGCTTTGTACCAACCCCTGAAGAGTCTTCCACAGTCATATATGCAGTATCATCCACAGTATCCCATATCACAGTGCAGTCCAGATGGTGAGAAACTGTACAATACTTAGGTACAGCTCAGTTCCCATGCTTTTCTTAAAAACCAAGGAATCAGAGGATATGACATGAAAGAATGAACAATTCTGAAGGTGAGATTTCCAGAGGTATTTCAGTATCTAAACATGCAAATATGCAACTGGTGGGATTTTCAGGAGTGTCTAGAGCACTTGATCTACTTTTGAGAATCTAGCCTTAGCTTCTTTTTGTATTGAGATCCAGAGGAGTTTGTAGTGGGATGTTGCTTTTTGATGTGGTTCTAAAATATCCTGTGCTTTCTAAGGTAGACCACTGTAGGTAGATAGCAATAAGATGGCATAATTTTATTACTCTGAAGTGAAAATCTCTGACTGCCTTGTCTTCAAAACCATGCAAGTTCCTTACCAGTCCGTTATTCAGATATGTTTTATTTTCAGTTTCTTTTAATTTAATATACTATGTAGGCCAGATGGAGCATTGAAGAAGAGGTAAAGAAGCAATCTTTACTAGGTCCCTTAATGACACAACTTGCAACAGAATCACTGTGACAATACAAATTAATCATCATGGAAATCTGGTCACACAACCCATAACAAACTTTATTTACACTTTAATCTTACATTCTTTTTCAGCTAGAAAGAACAGTTGAAAATATACTGTGGAAATCAATTGACAGTAGCTGAATGAAAGAAAATGAATGATGTGACCTAAAAAAATCTTTTCTATCTCTAGTTTCCATCATGTAGGAGTTTTCAATAGTCGTTGGGAAGATTCTCCCTTCAGCGCCCCAATGCAGCTCAACTGTTCTGTAGCACTACAATTTGGGAACATACTTTAGGTTACACAAAGGATTATTGGCAGTGAAATATACAGTTTAGAAGCAAACAGTAGAAATTAGTTAACATGTCAAACAGTACTTTGGATTGCCTTTAGTATATGCTCTTGCTGAGATGGCTTCAACAAAATAACTTCTCTCCAGAAACATAACTCAGAGTACAAATGATTGAATCTCAAAATATCTCCAAGGACTTATTCAGTCATCCCTAGTTGAAATCTTTGTGTTCCTCTAGGATTTACATCACAAACATGAGTTCCTGTCACAAGATATTTGGGATTCTACTTAAATGTCAGCTGAAGATGTGAGAAGTTTTCTGCTGGTGCAACTCCCCTAGGTTTATTAATTTCAGACAAAATCTGTAGACTTGCCCAAGGTACTTTTTATCCCTTGTTAGATAAAAAATAGCACTTAACAAGTTAGATACACACACTCTTAGCATGTAGTTTTGAAACAACGCACCCTCAAATTCATACACATTTCCCAAATCAACAGACAATCCAGAAATAGATCTCTGAGATGAGCAACACTTTCTGCAAGGAAATAATGCCATCAAAATAGAAATATAAAGAGAGAATGTTGCTCATCAATAACATGGATGCTAATCAAATTCCAGTGCAAGGCTAATCACACACAAATGTTTGCCTGATATGAAAAAATAATATCTTTTATGATATAAGAAAGAAAAAATAATCAGAAATATGTTAGAACTTCTGTACTTTCCAGTTTATGCCATTTTTCCTGTCCTTTTTTTTTTTTTTTTTTTTTTTTTTAATAAAGTAATCATAGATGGCAACAGAGATGAAAAAGTCCTTTCACACAATCAAATATATACCCTGTCAATGGAAAATTATCTTTGACTGTACATTTTCCAGTATTTTGTAATGGTTAAATTATAAGAGTTGCCCATGAACTTCATTTATTGAGAGGACATTGATCCTTTCTCAAGGTAAGGATATAGAAGAGAAGGTGATTGCATTCAACTTTCAAAGTCAAAAAACATTAACTTTGTATTATCATTACTTTAGATTCTTAGTCTAGAGTTTAGGAATAGAAACCCTTCTTCAGCACTCAGAACAGCATTATCTGAGGTGACATCAGTTACTCATGACTTGTAATCTTCAATATGAGTTAATGTAAATTTACCCCTTTCTAGACACTGTAAGATCAAGTACAGCAGAAACTGCTTCCAAACTGGTTAATGGAAATGCAAATCAATACTATGATCATCACATAGTTTCTTACCACAGTCATCTGATAATCATGACAAAAATCATGTTTTTATACGCATTCTGAAGGTGAATTAGGAAAGCAACCATTCCTGTATCTACATCTTCAATATCATAGTTTGGACTAAAAGACATGAACAAACTTGCTTTGAAAAAATACTAATTTGCCAAAGTCTGTCTTCCTTCATCCAAATGATCTTTATCCTGCTTAGAATTAATAAATCTATGAAAGGCACCTCTTATCTCTTTAATAATAATTTCCCTGCGATATACTCTTCATAATAAGGAGAAATTACATACAGCACAGCAGATGAAATTAAAAGTCTGCAGATTAGATTTACAATATATTACAAAAGCCTTTCTGTGTGTCAGCATACTTTTTATTGAAAAGGTTTCCATCACTTCCCTTGTGCTGATTAAGGAGATTTTTTTAATGATAAATGGAAAACTTTTAGGGAACTATATGCAATGTCATATCTCTATCCATTGCTGAAGGATATAAATATCTACTTACTGTTTAAAACGATTCCATTAAAAACCCTACTGTATAAAATGACTCAACCAAGTTAACTCATCTATCTCTTTTAATGTGGATCCCAATTAGAGTTATAACAGTTACAAGTTGCAATATAATTGCAATAGACTTCTAATTTTCCAAAGCAGTTATGTGAGGATTTGTGTCATTCTCTATGATTTCTACAGGGGATGAAGAGAAGGATGGGTTACAGATAAGAGAAAACCACAGGTACCTGATCCAGTTTCCAGTGGAACTCTGCAGGACGGAAGGTGTCAGCCTGATCAAAGTCTTTGCGCAACAGAAATACTAATCGGCAGTTGTGTACGTACAGGGCATAGTGATGTCGGTTCATCTCTGAAAGGAGGGGACCAGTATGATCAGTGATCTGAACTATCATCAACACTTCTGTTAAGGTGAATTTAAAGCAATATACACCTAAACCACAAAAGACAACCAAATAAAGAACCCCAAAAGAATTGACTTTTCTCAACAACATGTATCGTTATGTTTCTGGGGGAAGCCACATATGGTAAGCATCTTCCTGAATTATGCCATATTAGTCTTGTTTATGGAAGAATTGTGCTCAAACTAATAAATAAACTCCAAATCAATATTTAATATAACTAGTTTCAATTAAGAATTAAAACTGTTTTCTCAATCTAAATAATAATAAAATTAAACCTAATTTAATTTTATCAACCAACTTCTATAAAATCTACAGATATGTTCACAAACATTTTCCAAGAAGAGAACCAGTGCTCGAAACTTAGGTAGACATCAGTCCCCTCAATAAGCTATCAAGTCAACAAAGCTTAGAGTGGTACCATCCAAGCTTAGTAACTTTTTTTTTTGAGACTAAATTAAATGAGAAGAGAGGATAACACTCTACTAACTTTGTTATGCTCTTTACCTAACATTTCTTCAATACACTCACCTGTCTTGTCAGAGTTGCAGAGAATAGTCTCTTTCTCAGCTCTTAATCCAGGACTAGGTCCATGTTTCATCCACAGAGTAATGGTGAATTGATCAGTTAAATTCTTCGGGACTATTCCATCTGGGATTTTCGCTCCTTGCTTTCCATCAAATTTAAAAATCATGTCATTGTTATCCATGAGAAGCCCAGCTGTCCAGTTAGTTGTTGCGCTGGGAGATGGTAACAGGTCAATCGCACCTGAGGAAGCTCCTGCAAATGATATATAATGATGAGAGACTAATGAAAAAAATGTGAGGATTAATTTAATTCAGGCCAGGGTTTGGATTCAGAGTCTTTAGATTATTTTTACTATCCAAATGGTCCTACTAGCATCACCATCAAATCACATACATGTTATAAAATACTGACCACAGGAAGAGTTCTCAAGATTAAATGTATTGCACAGAAAGCTAGAGACAATATTTTAAAGTTATCTTTCTTGAAACTTCTCATTATTTTCTAAAATTCATTAATGACATTTCTTCTGTTATTTCAAGAACTGCTAAGACTAAACCCCAATTCTTTACATCCACCTGAGAAGCTTTACATCTTAACCCCCTGACAGCATGGAGATATATGGTATGTGGGGATGACGTGTTGCAAAATACCTGTGCAGTGGGAATGAATTTAGGACAAGTCATCTAATGCCCAGTAGACAGCCAGGGATATTCCCAATAATATTGATATGAATGTTAATACATACAGAGTATTTGACCTAGAACAGACAACATCCCTTTAATTCCGGATTCTGGAAGATACATGATGGTTGTAATGCCATGTGTTCTTTTCTAATGATAGATCTAAGACTTTTAAGTGGTACTTACCACTCAGATTAGGATCTCTGCCTCCCCAACCCAAAACTAAATCATTAACAAAGTGGTCCCCAGTACACAGTACTTGTTTACTAGAATTAATTGGGGGAAAAAACCCCAAACAAACTAGCAATGGAAAATGCTGTGGTGCCAAGTTCTGATAAAATAGCACAATTCTTTCCAGCTCTATGTCTTCTTACAGCTTAACAATTGTCAGACACTTTTAAAAACACATAATGAGCTACCCATAACCTTTACACAGCTCGTGAGAGATAGCATTTAGCAAAAAGTGTGCTTCCCAAAGTAAAAAGCTTGATCTTTGTATTCTTGTTGATGATTTGTCAAGTAAAAGTATGGTGAACAAACAACAACTGCATAAAAAAATCTCACACTAGTAAGATTACTCATCCTCCTTCAGTGTCCAAGGAGAGAAGAAAGATCCCAACTTTCTGCAAGAGTGTCAAATTTTAAGCCAAGAATGTGCAGAATTGTATCCTACGGATTTTTAAAAAAGTATTACAGTAATGATAGGAAAACATTTTTAAGATTCAGTAACTGAATCTCTTAGACAATTCTCCAAAATTTATTGCAGTAAAATGAGGTTATTTTGAAGTGATAGTAATATCAAACCTAACACCTACATGTTCAGAATTTGAGCACAAAGTGTATTTATTTTATAAACTGTAATTCTCTCTGTCTAAGAGACATCACTGCATTACTTAATACAGATGGTATCAATAGGAGCACATCAAGCTCAGTTTATCCAGATGGCACAATTTGTGATTTTTTTTTATTTTTTTATTTTTTTTTTTTAATTCAAGCCACTAAAAAATAAAATTACTTGCATGGGACACAAGTAAAACCATAATTTTCTTTTGTGTTAATATTTATGGTCATCTTTTAAACTTACAGAAGGAAATTGCTTGCACTGTGGTGTATATCAAAGGAAATATGCTTCTAAACGGGCATATGTTTATATTGAGAAACTTATGGGCTCAAAGAATAAGCTTCATCCCTTACTCTATCTACTCTGGCCATAAAAATTGGAAAGATCTATTTTATTTCCACTAGAATATATCTGTGGGAAAACTCCAGAATGGAAGTCTCTCATATTGCTTTTAAACTGATTCAGCAAGATGCTCAAGTAAACTACTTTACTTTCCCAAATTAAGGTCAGGTTTGTGTAAGAGCATTTGGGAAATCAGTGCCAAGCTCAACAGGTTCTACTTTATCTGCCCATATTTTTGTGGAGATTTATGCGTTACTTTGGAACCTTATCCTGTTAGTGTGTGTTAATCCTTGACTGAGAACAACTATTGGAATATGTGCTTCAGAGATTTAGCTGGAAGAAATCATACTTTGATTTTTTGATCCTAATACATTAAGCACAGTTTTGGACTGAGACCCCTGAGGTATGCCTTGCATATGAAAGTGCTTGGTTTCACAAGCAACTTAGAACTGGCCCAACTTCTCTCCGCACCCTGCATGTTTGTGCTGCAAACTTTGTGCCAGCATAAGCACGTACTGCTGGTGTTTGCTGAAGTGGACCAGACTGTTGGCTTAGCTGGAAGCTTACTGTCCAAATAAAACTAAGCACAAATTTCTACTTTTCAACCAGATCAATTGCCTTCAAACCTCCTGCAAAACTACACAACTCAGGATAAAGGAGAGAGGCCAGGATCTACCCTCTTAGCCAGAGCATGGCCTCTACTCAGTGTTTCCATCTTTAGTTTCCCATATGCCATGTGCAATTCCATTATTTTCTATTTTATCTACATTTAGAGGGAAAGAAGACAACACCATAGCTCCTTCCACCGTATTCTAGTCTCGTTAACAGAGGTTTTTTTTTTTTTTAAGTGAAATTTATTCTGGATATGTTTTTGCAGTCTAAATTGTGCATTTTATACATTCTTTATTTTTTATTATTGTCAGATGACAAGGTGAAAAAATGCTTACTAAAATGCTTTGAGGCGCAACACTAATAACTCCTTGACTTTAAAATGACTCAAGCATAATTTAATCATTTAAACTGCCCACCTTGACTGTCAAAGTGAGTACAAATCCCTGAATTATTGAAAAGCAGACTTAAACCATCAGTCATATAAAAAATGAATTTTAATGCACTGTCCTTAGCATCTGAATTCTCTAGATTTCCAAAAGATAAGTGAAGAAATGAGCATAGGATTTATAAACTGTGTCCTTAATTATAGAGAGACAATCTTGCATTTTATATGGCATAGATGAATATTTGTCTGTGATCACTCAGTTCTGCACTCTGCAGTCACACAGTGCTTTACAAGTAGGAAAAAATTCAGGGTTTCCTTCCTTTTCAAAGAATTGATTCATCCAACCATTAGATACAATAAGATCATTTCTGGGAGAAAATTGATTTCCATAAATAATTTAACCTGCTTTCATAAGAGTTGTCTCTACATTAAGGATGGTAATAAATACTAAATACCAAAATGTAAGCCAGTCCAAAAGCAATTATGATGTAAAGTTCATTGTTATTGACAACCTTTTTATTAAAGTCCTATTACAAGTTTCTATCCTACATGTTCTTTATGAAGATATGGAAGTCTTGGATGAAAAAAAAATATTTTTTTGGCCGTGAGAATTTCCCCCCCCTATTTACAAATAGATTTTACATTCTATCTGTTTTCTCAAGTGTTTTACATTCTGTTCCTTCCCAGATGTTCTGAATGAAAACTGGAAGTTCAGCAGTAATGTTAGACAGCACATCTATCCATCAGCTCAAAGGCTGCCTGTAACTACTACAATGGCATTGACAGACCTGCTGAAATGTTTTTGATCATTCTGCTTTTCATCAGCTTAGGCTGCACATGGTGCAGACACATGGTGCAGACAATGAACTAAGACTAGACTAGTATTGAGAAACATCTGGTTAGTTCAGGAGAAAAAGAGAAAGACTTTAAATTCTCACAGAATCATCTAGGTTGGAAAAGAACTTGAAGATCATCCAGTCCAACCATTAACCTCACACTGACAGTTCCCAACTCCACCAGATCCCTCAGCACTATGTCAATCTGACTCTTAAACACCTCCAGGGATGGGGACTCCACCACCTCCCTGGGCAGCACATTCCAACACCTAACAACCTGTTCTGTAAAGAAATGCTTCCTAATATCTAGTCTAAACCTTCCCTGATGCAACTTGAGGCCATTACCTCTCATCCTATCACTTATTACTTGGTTAAAGAGGCTCATCCCCAGCTCTCTGCACCCTCCTTTCAGGGAGCTGTAGAGGGTGATGAGGTCTCCCCTCAGCCTCCTCTTCTCCAGACTAAACAACCCCAGTTCCCTCAGCCACTCCTCGTAAGACCTGTGCTCCAGACTATTCTCTTTTCTACTGCTTAACTGTCAGCAGGTAAGGTAGTCAAGCCACACTGCAAGTTGAACTCCTTAGACTTCACACAACCTTCCTCAACTAAGGAATTTTCCACAAGCAGAAGGTACTTACTTTGGGTTCTACACTTAAAATGATAATACTGTCAGATATAGTTGCTATTATTGGTTTATGTCAATGTAATAATTTGGTGGTTTAGATTTTGTATGTAGTGATCTACTCTGAATGATTGTGCCATTTGCAGTTCAAGTCTGTAACAGACATAAAGAAATATTCTTTTTGTTGCCAATACAGGTTCTTAGAGGAGGCAAAAGTACTTGACTTTAGCTATAACATCTTTATTTTTATTAAAATTCTAGCATTTTATGAAATCAAGTCCCTGATAGGTCACATAGCCTTGCTCAACATCTCAGTTTTACTGTCATTAACACGATGAAGATGCAGATGGGTTTTCTCCTGCTTTTCTAAGATCCCAGTCAGTTGGATAAAGATACAGGATCAAAATTATGATTGTATATAATCTTAATTAAGCAATTTTCAGGTTGAAAATATTCAGATTTTATGAGAATGCTTCTACTCCCACTCACCTTTACCTCACTTTCCCAGTCTCCACAGGTAACTGGTAACTGCAAACTATTTTTCCCTGGGAACTGTCTCTCCATTTTTAATAACTTAGTAACACTGCCTGAAAATTTTCATTTAAAAATTATTTCTTAAAGGTTAGTTTATCGATCTTAACATATCTGTAATACTGCTGTGTGATTATCAAAGCAAATGTAAGCCATACAACAGAGTACCCCAAACCAAAATCCATGCATTTAAATGGAAAAAAAGTACATTTGCTACTGTAGCTCAGACAGGAAACAGGTAAAGAGACATTTTGGAGAAGATGAGAATCAATGTTTCATACCATGAGGTCTCTAAGAAGACAGGATTTTAGAGGAGGATGAGAGACAGAAGATCGCAAAAGCAAATGATAAATGGCTTGATGTGTGGTCACTGCTTTGCCACAGAAGTAATCTTAGTCACAAAACCACAGCAGTATCTTCAAGTATTTAATCTACCTTTCAAAATTAATTTGTATCTTTTAGACTAAGTAATCAAAAAGCAGGAAGAGGGAAGAGAATATTTAGGAAACCTTTCTCCACCAGGATATCTCTTTTCCGAAATTTGTGTTTCTTAAATATTTTTGCTCAAATGATTGCCCCAGATGTCCCTTTACTTTTTGTTTGGTTTTACTCTGGCACAGTATTTAGCAGCAGAACAGAAAGCTGGCTCAGGAAGACTGAAAGACAAGATGGAGATTCAATTCTCATCAAATCCTATGGTCTTCCTCTGATGGCAAATCTATACCTGAAATCTCACTACACTGTCACACCACTATTAGTAGCAGAGGGAAGAAAGAGCAAGAAGGAGGTGGAATGAGGATAAAGAAAAAAAAAAAAAAAAAAAAAAATAAGCAAGGAGAAAGTATGACAAAGAGTGAAAACAAAAGGAAAAGAAGAATGGAGAACCGGTCAAATATCACCCCTCCCTTCATTTTCATTGCTACAATCTGGAATAAACCAGCTGAGCTAAATCCACGGTTTGCATGCTAACAGGTCACAAGGAACTGGTGCTTTATGTGGAAAAATATTATTATTATATCAATTGAAAGCCATATCCATACCACATAATTTCTGCAGAGATTTTTCTGAGTACGTTTCACGATCACAGCCCTTTCCAATGTAATTGGTCTGTAATTCAATGGTGGTATGTATTGAGGAAACTGGTCCATCACACGTTTCTAGATGAATGCTGGGAAACAAAGGTATGCTGCCAGAACCAGGCTTGTATTCAATCCGTTTGTTCCAGTCTGGAAAAAAAACAAGAACAAGATCCAAGAGTGACTGAAAGAAGGGAAGGGAGTTATATAATTTTAAGACATACTGTTCTCGAAGTCACTAAGACAAAGATAAATGTTTTTGAACTTGTCATCAATAAGTTACTGTCCTAAAAAAAAAAAAAAATGCCCCCTTTTTATACAAGAGTGTCAGGCTCAATTAAGTAATACTACTGCTCCTGGAGTCACACAAGCATGGGGTGCATACATGATCTGAAAGAATTGCTAATTGATGCCAGTCTGGATCTCCGATATCCATGTTCCTGTGACAGACTACAAGCTAGCTCTACAGGGATGAGACTACCTGCTGCACTGAATTTTGTCAGATTTCATAGTTTTGTGATACAGAACAAATATCTCCAAGGCCCAGGCTATATACATCAGTCTCACTGAACTGTGAACATAAGCTAATACAACACATCTGTAGTGTCACTTCTTGTCTTCAGTTGTCTTACTAACTTTGTGAAGTATTACTGACAGAAAGTTACAGCTGAAAGGACTACTCACTCTTTCAGCTAGATCTGACTAATCTGTGGTTTTGCTTATGCAGATGTCTCACAGTCCACAACATTTAAGCAATCACCTGCCTTAGGCAGCCACCTGGACATGCCATACATACCACTATGCTTCTCAACTGCAGCATTTAATTTTTAAATCCAATTAATTATGGTGCGTATAATGTGCTTCAGAGAAAACGCAAACAAGCAGCATTAAAAACAATATTTCAGTTATCACTACAGTTCACATTTTCATAGAATCATAGAATGATTTGGGTTGGAAGGGACCATCAAGGTCATCCAGTCCCACCCCCCCTGCCATGGCCACTAGCCCAGGTTGCCCAAAGCCCCGTCCAACCTGGCCTTGAACACTGCCAGGGAGGGGGCAGTCACAGCTTCTCTGGGCAACCTGTGCCAGGGCCTCACCACCCTCACAGGGAAGAATTTCTTCCTTAGATCTAATCTAAATGTACCCTCTTTCAGTTTAAAACTGAGGACCTCTTGTCCTGTCACTACAGGCCTCAGTAAAACGTTTCTCTCTGTCTTTCTTATAAACCCACTTTAAGTATTGAAAGGCTGCAGTATGGTTTCCCTGGAGCCTTCTCTTCTCCAGACTGAAAAACCCCAGCTCTCTCAGCCTTTCCTCATGGGAGAGATGTTCCAGCCCTTTGGCCATTTTTGTGCCCTCCTCCTCGTTGCTCTAAGGTTGTCATATCTTTCTCATACATTTTAGCCAACTCCAGCGAAGTTACCATGCAACATAAATAAGAATGCCACATTAATACAGAGACGCAAATAGTTAATTATTTTGACGCCAAAAAACTAGTCAACTTTGCAACCTAATGTGTACATCTGTATATCCATAAAATTTGTCAAAAGAAGTACTCTTGCATACACAGATAAAATTTATCTGACTTTTTGTAATCCTAGGTAAAAGAGGACTCCATAAATGGAAGAATTCTAGGTCCTGGCAGTCAATAAAATCTCTTAAAGCAAATGGACAAAGACATTCTTTCTAAATATCAGTGAAAGAGAATGTAATTTTATATATATATATATATATATATATATATATATATATGCGCACTGCGTAGGTGAAGGTGTTTGGTGTTTTTCAACAGATCTCGTTTACAGAAAGCTTGAAAAAAGTTACTCTCTCCTACAATCTTAAACTGGACTAAAAATTTACAAGAAAACCTGAAAGTCCATGCAAGCATTTTGAAATGTAGAGCGGTCATTAGTCCAGAGTCCAGACAAAGAAGATAGGATGCTGACAGTCACTGGTCTGCATTTCAGAATTCTGAAATTTTCTTCATGACTTTTAATCCAAATAGTAATCATATTGCATTTTCTTCTCAAGAGGAAGCTGAGACCTCATGGAACATTCTGAAAGTATGCTTAGTATCTATTTTTATTAAAACCTTTAGGACTTGTATATCACTAGCTAAAAGACAACTATGACCACTACCTGTGCATGCACCAGCTGAATAGCTATTTCAGCAGTAATTTTCAGGTAATAATATTCAGCCCAATCATTTCATACTAAGTTAGATTTGTTCTGCAATATCGCATAATTTGTCTGCAATTGTCAATTTAAAAGTTCCCTTAGAATTTCAAGTATCATATAGTGTACATCATTACAACAATACATTTCTGTTCCCTATCTGTTTCAGAAACTTGAGGTTAACATATTTCCAATCAAAAAGAGCAGAAAATTCTTTCCTATACTTAGGGTGAAAATAAAATAATTTGCTGTGTTGTATACAAGCTAGTAATATATAAATTATTGATTTTTATAGTCTTTTATTAACCAGTTAAAACATTATATTCCTGTACCCAAAAGGAAAAATAAGAGTGTCTCATACATAACTAAAACATTTCTGACTATCTCAGCAGCTTTCAGGTTTCGGCCACATTTTCATTTCTCATTTATATCAAATTAACCAGCACTCATGCAAAATATTTGTTACTGTATGTGAGATGTGACTGAATTATTAACTGTAGCCTACCTGCAACTGCACACACAGCTCCAGTTATATGAAGAATGTAATATAAAAACCATGCTCTTTAAAATGCCACTACTCACAAGGAAGAATAATGGAGGGGACCTCTGTTTCTGCCACATGAATTGGAAGAGGTGTTTTGTTTTACAGTATTACCTTTCAACTTGCAGAAATGGCAAGATCTTGGCAGAGATCATGAATGCTGAATGTTCTAAATCACTTGCAATTATCTCAGCGCTAAATTGTAAAACATCAACAAGACTTGAACTATTGTCTTTCTACCTTGGTCCCCTGCAAGCGTCATAGACCAATCCTAGCACTTCTTTCACTGACTTAGTACAGCTTTAGGAAATCCATCAAGGAGTCCCTCTCCATGTAGAAGGCATTCCCAGGAAGACATGAGGCAATACTGGAGTATGATACAAACCTGTGATAGCAGGACAGTCCTTAAAGATAGCAAGAGCTCTGATACAAATCAACTGGATTATTTACATAGTACTCGCCCCCATGGTATTTCAGCATTCCAGAGGTGTTGAAGCCGAGGCCAGCACCCTCTGTATCTCACCACCAGTAAAGTTAGAACAAGCAACATGAAGTAGTGACAGTGTGAAGAGCTTATTGTGAGAAGAAAAAAGGTCTTTCATGTAATTTTGAATGTGGTGAAGATTGTTATTTTTCTTTCTCCCAGAATAACATTCTGTATTGGACACATTCAAAGGATCAGCACTTTCCCCTCAGGAACATGGTGGCACTTTTTTAATTCCTCTAGAATTGACTCAGAGAAAGAATCTTATGTAACCTTAGTCTAAAAAAGCCTCTGAATTTCAGATATTTAAATACTGTATCTTAAAACATGAGTCATGTCTGAGGTTATGCAAACCGTCAAAAGATACACAATCCCTTCTGAAATGGTAGGTTGCACTAGATTAGCTAAACTCAACCAACATGGTTCCTCTGACGCAAACTGTCACGTAACACCACCACAATACAGTGCAAATTTAGAAAGGTAGGCACAGTCTCCCCAACAGGGGGGGAAGACTAACCCCATGGGAAAAGTTTGAATAAAACTAGCCCAGTTCAGTCCTGCAGAAGAAAACCTTTGGATTTTTTTTTAATTCAATAGACTTCTGCTTGCCACTTGTAATATAAAGCTCTTCCAAACAATGTAAGGCTGGATTACACCTACAACATAGAGTGCAAATATCACAATGTCAGGTTTATGGTTCAGATTTCATCAATTATAAAACAACTGTGTAACTTGGATCTTGATCTCTGAGACACTAAAACTATTCCAAGATCAAAATGGATAAAACTTCAGTGACAGTTTGAGCCTTTAAAAGTAAATCCCAGTGCACTAAATAAATTTTTCTTTTAACAGAAGGATAATATAAAGAGTTTCATTGATCTCTACACTTAACAGTTTAGTACATGAATCTCTCTTCTTGTGATCCATGTATTATATTTTAATTCATTTCTAATGCTTCATGTCACTAAGAATGATTTAATCTGATTTTTTCTTGAAGGAGCATGGCACTCGTGCTGAGGTCTGACCTGACTCATGTGTCCTCCTACATGTGTGTGGCCATGAACTTTGATTCCACATCATGACAGTAAAAACAATGGCATGGCATCTAGACAATTGCAACACAACTCCTACTATGCCAGTGAAATGCTATGTTGGACTCAAGATGTGCATCCTAGCAGCCAAATATAAGATAAAATTTGTGTAGTGCTATTAGTGAGTTTCTGCAGCATCTCTACATAATAGCTGGAACATAAGGTTCCCAGAGCAATGTAATTGGTGGATCTTATGTCTCCTCTCCAGCATCTTTGCATCTGTCCTATCTATGAAGGATTTATACTTGGCTAAAGGTTATTCTGCTGCTTTTTATTTTTCTGAAATCATACACTTCACAGCTTTGCTGAAGTACTTTTTTTAATTAAACATTTTTCTCTCTATCAATTTGAAAATCTGAAACACTCTAGAATAAATAAAAATATCAGTATACACAAAGCATTTCAAACAAGATCAGAAATGTCTCTGTAGTTTTGCAGAAAGTACACTTATTTTCATGATTTATAAAACTTCCTGTATCTTAAAATCAGCAGCGAGGCAGCTCTAGATACTGTACAATGATATTTGGAAGAGCAGTGCACTATTCTCACAAAACTACAATTTTCTTTCAACATCATGAATTTACTGGAAAGTGTACATGTTGCCAGAATATCATATGCTGCAGCCACCGCAATACCTCCCGCACATTCTCCACATGCAAAAGATCAATGGCCATAAGACATTTTCAGAATGTACACACTTTGGTGGTTGGATTTCTACTTTGAACTAAAGATAAAGGATTTTTTAGTGAAACGGACACATGGTAACAGAACAGTTCCTGCATATTTTCTCTTGGGCAGCATTCTCTCTATTTATGGACTTATAAATTGTGGCAATTAAAAAAAAAAACAAAAAACA